TGATAGATATATTATATCCCCAAGAAAATCATCCATAAAAGGTGTGATATTTGTTTTAAAATGATGTCATTAAAGAACTTTTCTGGATTTGGCATTTGTTTTGTAATGTGAAAATTTGGTATTTTATTTACCCAGTCTCTGTCTAAGATTTCTGTTAAGTTTGCAAAATATATTTTTTCACTCTGTTCCTCATGCTGTATTTTAAGTGACTGTATATTAGTCTATGATATCGAAATTACACGTTTCTTGTTGATTAACACACTGGAAATAACAATATTTATTAAGTTTATTAAGCGGTAAATTTTTGAAAATAGCTTCTACGCATTTTGGTGTTAAAGTAATATCAGTTGAAAATTTTGGAATGAAACAAAGTACTGTTATGGGCAGATCGCAGTCTCTTAAGGATAGACCTGATATCAAACAGTGTTCGTTGTTAACTGAATTGACTGCGATATAAGTTTTTCCTGAATAGATGAGACACATATAATCGTTAAATTTGATGAAATGAGCAGGTATATATTGAAATAATTTCCAATATGCAAAGCTCTCTTGTATAGGAATTTTTATTTTTACTAATATTTGATTTTCTGAAAATTGGCATTCTGTAATAGGTAAATTGTAATACACTGATAAGTTACTTATAGGAATTACTAACGCATATCCTTCTTTTTTAATAACTTTTTCGAGTTTTATGAGATCAGTATAGAGGATTTCAGAGTTGATTATTCTAAGTGGAATTTTGTGTAATTTACAGTGCAGATGAGTGCTTGAGTCCCTTTCGTTGTTAGTTAAACTTAGTAAGGCTATTAATATATCATGGACAACCTCCTGAATACCTAAAAATTTATTTTCATTTTTGGTGGTTTCTATTAAGTTGTTATTATTTCATGTTTAATCAATTCCTTAAATGAATCTCTTAACATATTATATTTTGAAATAGTACTCTTTGCGTAAGAATTTAGTTCTGAGGTTATGTTTGTTAAGTCAGAATGGTCGGAGATAAAAGTGTCTTTAAATTTATTAATTTGCTCTTTTAGTGCTACTTCATTAGTATAAAATTGTTTAAGTTGTTTGTCAGTAGCCACATTATAACAAAAATGAAAGAAATTTCCAAAAACTTGTATACCTCTTATTTTCCTTTTGTTAATATTATTAGTAATTTTATTAAATTTTTCAAAAATATCTAAACTGATTTCCTTAATGTTTTTGCCTACTAGTTGTAATATTTTTAGAGACTCGTCCACAATATTACAGTAATTAGAATCTTTACTTTCGCAGTAATTTTCGATTAAATAATTATTTTGTTCATTTTAATTCGTTTTACTTATCTTTTGGGTATAAATTAAAGGAATACTTTTGTCGTATAAAATTGTATCCGGTATTTCATCGAAGAAGGCGCCAGAGGAAATAGTTACAGCAAGATTTGCTTCAAGTGATTTTTGAATTTTGATTATTAGTAATATAATTGCAAACAGGAATTTCAACTAAAAGAAAAAATAGAATAACAATGTGCCCCTATAGTTTTAAAAAAAAATCGGCCATTTCCCATTTTATTTACTGCTATATTATTATTATACATTATAATTAAATACTACATAAGTATACATCATTAAAAACCGTTTAAGAACTATATAAACATATTGCTTTACACTTATTGGCTGGTTTATAAGAAATGTATATAGCAACTTTGTACATTTTTAACAATGATCTTAATATTGCTACACTTTAAAATCAATAACAGTTTTATTGACTAATAGATCGAATAAAATATTATATATTGTGTTTTATAAATAAAATAAAGATTCAATTTAAAGTTCAAAAACAATAATTATACTTTAGTTAAATGGCTAATTTTTTAAAGCGCTATTACAGAAATTTAAAGAAGAAGCTTGGCTTCAAAAATAAGAAAATAGGTAACTCTATTTATTTATTTCTCGTACATTTTTATTATTGTTGAATTGAATATGTTTAATGATTTATTTGNTTATTATTGATGAATTGAATATGTTTAATGATTGATTTGTTTTCTAAAAATGATAGAAAACTTTACTTTAATTGACATTAACTTATTAGCTTCGATACGAAGCTGAGAAGGTATTAATTTTACTATGATGTGTTTTTTTTTTTTGTGTGTCTGAATACGCTCAATCTCAGCTCTCACTGAACCGATTTTGATGAAAAATATGTCAAAAGATCACAAATCGTATCTAGTTGAAGACATTACCCTCAAAAATTGAAAAAAAATCCCTCGTTCCTCGTAAACGGGGGAAATCCCCCAAAAAATTACAAATTTAAAAATCGNCGTAAACGGGGGAAATATCCCAAAAAATTACAAATTTAAAAATCGCTAATTTTCGATATTTTTTCATTTTTTTTTACTTAAAATTGCCATAACTTTTTTAAAAATGATCGAATCAATATAATTTTTTTTTTTATAGATACCTNAAAAATAACCAAATCAATATAATTATTTTTTTTATAGATACCTTAGATATTTACCTATCATTTTATATATTTTTTTTATAAATTTGACCCTTTCCCTGGCCACAGAAGAAGATTCAAAATGACAACTTTTTCACAAAAAATTAACTTTTTCAACATAACTTTTGAAAATGTTCCGAAAAGTCTGACACTTTTATATATATCTTAAATTAAAGCTTATATAATATACTTTAATTTAAAAAAAAAAATGTGACCTCTGGATTTGTCTTCACGGTAAAAATGACTACCGTATTCAAAAATTTGCTATTTTTGTGTTAAAATTCTGGGTTTTGTATTTTATTTTATTTTAAAATACCTGACAAGGGGACTACAGATTTTCATAAATATTATATAAATAAAAAATTAATATAGCATAGAAAGTTAAACTTATTTAAATTTGTTTGCTTCTTTTAAGTCGAGAAAAATAACTTTGAAATTTGAACTAGCTTAAATAGCCTATTTTTTCACCCGACGGTAGCGACGTACGGTTGCCGAGTTGGTAAAATTTATGTTTTACACGCTTGGGGTACGAGGTTCCAACCCGCGTATGGCAATGAATTTTTTGCATTTTTTCTTAATTCTTTTTAAGTTAGTATAAATTTTTAACTCATTTAGATTCAATAACTTCAATAAAGATCAATGATCCCATCACTTTAGTCGCCCCTTGCAAGAAGAAATTTCTTATTCGTATTAAAATTATTTTACTATATTTTAAGTTTTAGCTTCGATGCAAAGCCGAGAAGATGTTTTTTTGTGAATATCATTTATTTTCTCTGCTCTAACTTGACCTACTTTTTTCAACGATACGTCCAATGACTACAATTCGTATCTAGTTGAAGATATTACTCTCAAAAATTGAAAAAAAAATTCTAATTTATCAATTAAACAGTTAGTTATTACATCGTCTCCATAAAGACAATTAAAATCATTAATTTCTAATGTTTTCAAAATATTTATTAACGAATGAAGTTTGATATGATAGGTTTCAACTACAAAATTAAATCATTTTACTTTGTAATTTAATAATTTTATTACTCTGTTTGTGTGTGCTACTATTAGACTATAATATTCAAATTTTTTTCTAACGTGTTGCTATATAAATCATTTCTAAAAAAAATGATTGTTTTTTCTCCTGAATTAACAATTGATTTTTTCAAATATAATCAAATTTTATAATACGCTCAATTGAGTAAATCTTTTTGACAACTTTGTTTTGATTGGTACATTTATTTAAAGTAAATCATTAAAATTAATTAAGTTCTTAATATTTCAATTGTAGAATCTTTTCTACAAACAACAAAAGTTACTAGGAAATTATTACTATTACTTCTATTTAAGTTATCTATTACCATAAAAATGCAAAAAAATATTGAGCTTTTCTGATAAATTTACAATAAATAGTAATTATAAAACTTTCTGACTGCATATTGATCTTAACGATACAATTTTTTTAATTGTCATAAAATTTTCTATTTAATTNACTTTCTGACTGCATATTGATCTTAAAGATACAATTTTTTTAATTGCCATAAAATTTTCTATTGAATGATGTCAATGTCAAACTTACCAATTGAGCTAAAAGTTATGGTAAAATATATTTTTTTTTTATTATAAACATTTACAACAATCAACTTTAAACGATTAAAAAAATAGGTTAAATATGTCATTTTCCTTATTTTTAACTTATTAATAATATTATTATTAATTCTTCTTTCAACATTCATTTCTATAACTGTTCTTACAGCTTCCGATTCTTCTCTCCTCATAACATGACTAGATTGTTAATCTAAGTCTATTTTTTGTCAGCTTATCCACGATTGACGCAACACCTATAATTCCTCTTATATGCTCGTTCCTTATCCTATATTTTCTAGTCACTCCACTCATCCAACTAAGCATTCTCATCTTTATTACACTTATTCTCTGCTCTACTTTCTTATCAACGCCCAACACTATGAACCATACATCATAGCTGGCCTCACAATTTCATAGTAAATTTAAAAACTATAATTAGTATTTATTCATATATTATATTTAAAAATCAAAGAACTACTAATCAGGATATAATTAAAGAAATATGAGTTGATGCTTCGATGAGAAGCTGAAAAGTTATTTGTTTTATTATGATGTGTTTTTTTTTTGAGTCTGTTACCACTTTTTCTTAGCTCTCACCGAACCGATTTCCTTCAATGATACGTCAAAAGATTACAAATCGTATCTAGTCGAAGATATAACCCTCAAACATTGAAAAAAATTCCCTCGTTCCCCGTAAATGGGGGAAACCTCCAAAAAAATTACAAATTTAAAAATCGCTAATTTTCTATGTTTTTTCAATTTTGTTTACTTAAAACTGCCATAACTTTCTTTAAAATGAACAAATCAATATAATTTTTTTTTTTGTTAATGTATTTACCTATCACTTATTATATTTATTTTTATAAATCTGACCATTTACCTGCCCTCAGAGTGGATTTAAAATGACAACTAATTAGATTTAACTAAAAGTGTCTTGTATACAGATACGGCCATTCAGTCTGCTTCATTGTCACCAATTTATGAATCAAATTTGGTGTCTGAAGATTTACCTGACCCGGGCAAAGTTCTAGATAGCCTATCTATGAGCATGGATTATATTATTGAGCCACCTACAGCTTTTTCAGGTATTTATATGAAAATTCGTTTTTTTAGCTTCGATGAGAAGCTGAAAAGTTATTGGTTTTATTATGATGTGTTTTTTTTTTGAGTCTGTTACCACTTTTTCTTAGCTCTCACCGAACCGATCTCCTTCAATGATACGTCAAAAGATCACAAATCGTATCTAGTCGAAGACATTACCCTAAAACATTGAAAAAAATTCCCTCGTTCCCCGTAAATGGGGAAACCTCCAAAAAATCACTTATTATATTTATTTTTATAAATCTGACCATTTACCTGCCCTCCGAGTGGATTTAAAATGACAACTAATTAGATTTAACTAAAAGTGTCTTGTATTTACCTATAATTTATTATATATTTTATAATGTATATAGATACGTCCACTCAGTGTTCTTTATTGACACCTATCACGGATTCGATTTTGCAGTATATAGAGTCATTATACTATGTTTTTGGAATTACCGAGACTAGCTCTTTAAATGAGGTGCATAAAGAACCTACGGAATCATTTATGAAGTCTGCAGAATTACCTGATGAAGTCGCAGATTTGGTTATAGAATTAATGAAAATGCGTCAAAATGTAATGCAACCAAATTTAGAGTCACCTCCAGTTATGACAGGTATTTATATGAATATTCGTTTTTTTTTTCATAACAAATTTTTCTATAAGTTAATTAGACGACTAACTTAATTCATGTATAATTTTACTTATATGAATTATATACAAGTAATTTTTATTAAAATTTATTATATAAACCAGCTACACGTGTTGAGAGATATACTCAGAAAAATTCTGGATCTGAATTAAATGATTTAACTAAAAGTGTCCTGTATACAGAGACGGGTACTCAGTGTATGTTATTGTCACCATCCACGGATTCAATTTTGCAGAATATCGATTTACTATACTCTGCATTTGGATTTAAATAAAAAATTGAAGGAAGATTATTATGATTAAGAAAAAATTATTTTTGAAAGAAATTGTTGTTAAGAGTTAAATAGATGAATAATTATAAATATTTTGTTGCATCATTAAAAAATTATGTACTTATATACTTAATATAGTAACTTATTTTCATGTTATACGTCATTAATGTAAATTATTAAATTTTATAAAATTTTTCAAAAAGTTAATATATTTTTATTTGAAAAACAGATACGGCTTGCTTATTTAATTTTAATAAATGATATCTTAAGATAAAAACAATAATAATTAAAATAAAAATATTATATCATCAACAATAGTTGAAATCTAATTTGATATATATTACTTATGTATTAGAGTAGTAACGTGCGCAGGTATTTTTAAAAAGGGGGCTAAACACTTGTTTAATTTTTAAATATTTTTATTAGCGCAAAAATTATATACTTTTAAAATTATAGTTGGGTAATGTGGGGGTGGAGGTATATATCGTCTTTAGTATTTCATCCTTGGGTATTAGAATGGTCCTTAAAAACATAGTTTTGAAATCCATCATTCTCACCTTCCTAAATTGTTTTAGTTTATGCAAAAATAAACCAAGCAAAACTTGATATTGATTAATCTAAGTTAACATGTGTAGTAACAGGGTTGAAAAATTTAATGATAATGTTAGTTTTTCAGTTTTTATTGTTTATATCAAAAGCTATGACTGACATGGCAAAATTTTTAGAAAAAAATGATAGATCAAGCTATTCATTAGTAAAAAATGTTTAATTTAATTTTCATAAATTTATTTTATTCCTTTTTTTTTTTTTTGATAATATAATAGAAAATAAAATACTAACAGTTAGGTACTTGCATTTTTTTATCCAATTCGTTGCATTATTTTTAGATAATATATTGGCATAAAGCGTGGATGAAACACATATACACCAGTTCGAACTGTAATCAATGGCCACAGCTTATTTATTAGATGACATAATTATAAGTATTCTATCATCATCCATAGAATCTAGAAACGAAACGTTTCAGCTAAATAAAATAAAATAAATTTCATAACACTTTAACTTGATTTAAGGTCGATGTATAATGAATGCACGGGACTAAGTTCATATTATAGTGATGATATATTAGGTCATGCCGTCGATTCTCTCATTATATATAAGTCTTCTGTGTGTAGTAATACAATAATAAGAGTGTTTAAACGTGGTGTTTTGATCAAGGTTTGGATATTTTGGAGATTTGGTCAATTCGTGAGCAACGAGGTTCTATTGGGGTTATAGAGTCCGAGGATTTAGATCAGTAAAGACAAACAGACATAAAAATAAATGAATAAAGTTCCTCTCTTAGAGGTATTAAACGCTGAGGTATTCTTGTAGTGTGTGGTGTCTTGGCCTCCTATTTAACACCCAGATATGTACTTCGATGCCGTGATGTCGCACGAATTGAACGGGATAATTAATTTTTAATTTAAAAAATTAATCAATTTGAGAAATTATTATTTATAATATCTATTGTACTATTGTCATGTTGTGCTACATTTTTTATGGAGAGTTTTTAATTCCTAAGGTTTAAATTTTTTTTAACAAACATAATATTATGAGGTTTTTATGAAAGGAATAATACCACATACTCTTCCTGACATCGGAAGTAAGTTACTGGATTAACCCCTACTTTTCTACATAAATAATTCATTATGTAATTAATTTGACTTAGAATATTGATATTATTACTTCAAAGTTACTAAGCATGCAATATTTATTTATTTAAATGTCCTATCTAAAATCAATAATCTTATTATAGAATCTTATTGCTCTGTAAGCAACATTTTGTACTCTTTTATTATTCATATTTATTTTTGTTTTGATGATTAATATTTTAAAAATAATTTACACTTTATTTCTAATTTTATTTTCTAATGATTCACTAAAATAATATTAATTTTAGCACGTGTGCTTTAATTTTGTGTTTATTTTTTTGTTGCTCATTGCATCTATTAATTTAAAATATGTATTTTTAAGATTAATCCATAAAAAATCTGCATGTATATGACACTGGTCAGAAGAATATTATGATCATTTTACTGTGCCATAAGCTCTATCTTTCCATTGGATAATTCACTACTTAATAATTCAACTACTATTCTGTTGTGATGGAACATTGTGCAGTTACATGTAATGTCTTATTATATTACGATGGGTTTATTTAATTTTATATTTTCAGTAGAATGCACGGTTCATCAATTTAAGAAATAAACAAATTTCTCGACATTTTTAATTGCATAATAAGAAATTAGTATTTCTATCAAAACAGAATTTGTTAATAAGATGTTTAAGAAAAATATACAATAGAAAATTTCAATTGTATATTTTTCAATATATTGATAACATTTTAAAATATATTTAAAAAGTTACTTATACAATGAACAATGATTATCATCCTATAATATAAAAAAACTTAATTAAAGAGGATCAAATGAAATTTTTTTTTAATTGATATTTTTATTCATAATAATAATTACAAATATTATGCATTAATTTACCAATTTTTTTCAAATACATATCATAAAAAATCTGTTGCTTATTGGAGTTTAAAAAAACCAAAATAACACATTATTTTTAAAATACATATGAAAAAATATTAAAAGATAAAATACAAAAAAATACAAAAAGAATATATATTTAAATTACATAATTCATTTGTTAGATTAATAAATAAACCATATCAAAAGTCAGTTAATAAAACATCATATATATTAGCTTCGATGCGAAGCTGAGAAGGTATTGGTTTTACTAAGATGTGTTTTTTTTTGTGTCTGTTACCACTTTTTCTCAGCTCTCACCGAACCGATTTCTTTCAATGATACGTCAAAAGATCACAAATCGTATCTAGTCGAAGACATTACCCTAAAACATTGAAAAAAATTCTCTCGTTCCCCGTAAATGGGGGAAACCTCCAAAAAAATTACAAATTTAAAAATCGCTAATTTTCGAATTTTTTTCAATTTTTTTTACTTAAAAGTGCCATAACTTTTTCAAAAATAAACATATCAATATAATTCTTTTTTATNTAAAAATAAACACATCAATATAATTCTTTTTTATATAGATGCATAATATCATTACCTTTCATTTGGTATATTTTTTTTATAAATTTAACCCTTAACCTGCCCACAAGGGGGGATTTAAAATGACAACTTTTTCACAAAAAATTAATTTTTTTAACTTAAATTTTGAAAATGTTCCGGAAGGTCTGACACTTTTATATATATCTTAAATTGAAGCTAATGTAATGTTCTTTATTATGGTAAAAAAAAATTTCGTACTTTATTTTGTCTTCAGGGTTTTACATATTGGTAAAACATAAAACGAGTGTCGTGAATACTTTCGCCCTCCGCATACTTCTAATCATATCGTTTAGATTGGGCGTGGGGTACGCGTCTGAAACGGCCACTTCGTTGAGTCGCCTATAGTCGATGCACAAACGAGAGGAGCCGTCTTTTTTCTTGGCCAGGACGACTGGCGCCAACCAAAGCGAAGTTCTGGGTTCTAGAAGTCCCTGTGATTCCATATCATCTACCATTTCGTCTATCACCTCTTGTTTGTGTAGAGGGTACGGGTATGGTTACAATGCAATGGGTTTCGAGTCCTTTAGAACGATATCGTGTTTGATTAACTTTGTGCGTCCCACCATGTTATTAAAAACCGCAGCGTATTGTTTCACTATGTGAGATGTTAATTCGCGCGAATGTGGACCGCCTGCTATATCGATGTTTGGCCGATCTATACTGTGGGGGGTGCGGGGAGCGCTTGCTTTCCAGTACGCCGTAGTACGTTTTTAAAAATCAAAAAAGTATGTCGAATGAAAGAAGTATATAAATATTATTTCATATCAAAAAATTGTACTAATCCATACATTTTTCAAAAAGTTATAACATTTTAAAGTTAAAAATGTAAAATATAAAATCGAGAATTTTTACATAAAAAGAGCATACGGTAGCTATTTTCACCGTGAAGACAAAATAAAGTCCGAAATATTTTTTTTTCATAATTAAGTATATTACATAAGCTTTAATTTAAGATATGTAAAAAAGTGTCAGTATTTCCGGAACACTTTCAAAAGTCAAGTTGAAAAAGTTAATTTTTCGTGAAAAAGTTGTCATTTTGAATCCCCCTCTGTAGGCTGGTAAAGGGTTACATTTATAAAAAAAAATATTCCAAATGATAGGTAAAGACATCAAGCATCTATAAAAAATATATATATTGATTTGTTCATTTTTGAAAAAGTTATGGCAGTTTTAAGTAAAAAAAAATTTCGAAAATTAGCGATTTTTAAATTTGTAATTTTTTGAAGATTTCCCCCCGTTTACGGGGAACGAGGGAAATTTTTTCAATTTTTGAGGGTAATGTCTTCGACTAGATACGATTTGTGATCTTTTGACATATTGTTGAAAGAAATCGGTTCGGTGAGAGCTGAGAAAAAGTGGTAACAGACACAAAAAAAAAAATAAATAAAAAAAAAACACATCATAGTAAAATTATTACCTTCTCAGCTTCGCATCGAAGCTAAAATGAAGTCTCTCAGACTGATAACAAGTATCAACTTTATTTTGTTAAATGATAACGTTCATTTTTAATTAGCGTCTAAAATAGGAAATTATCAAGTTATAAAATAACTTGTTGAAATCAAAATTTGAAC